TGTCGTTTCTAAGGGGACACCCTAGCATATACACAATGTTCAAAAGAATTCATGTCATGATTTTTCAATAAATTTTACATTATATGTCGACTACCTAGTGCAACCCTCTCCTTTCACATCCGGAATTTGGGACCCGGTAATGGCACTGTTAAAATTATTTATATTATGAATACATGATTAACTATTATATTAATTTCAAAACAATTTTAACAAGCAAAAAAAATAATTTTAAATTTGAATTGTAACTCAAATTTTATGCTTCCAAAATTTATTTAACTTTGTCTCATAAAGCATAATATTGATCAATTATCCCAACTTATTATTTAATTACAAATAAAGTGGCACATGCCCCCACAAAATCAATTTAAACTTTATATGCCTCACAAAGTTTTTAGATGCTATAATTTTAAAATATTTAAAATTAAAACAGCATTTAAAGAGTAAAGTTTCTCTTCCTAGAGAAAAACATACATAACCTCAATGGGTAAAATAGCGAATGAATGTCGGTCACAAAAGAGAAGAAAAGTTGTGTTGGGTTCTAAAGCAATTTACGGAAGCGCAAACCAAACGCCTAATTCGTCGATTTGGTTTTGAATGCGGCCCAAAAAATGGAAACATACACGGCCTTAATGACATTGAATTTAGCGAAAATGTTATAGTCACAATATAGGTCAATATTGTACACATTAGCATTGACCTTCCTAACCAGTGTTATCAAAGTGCAATATGATGTGAAAGCTTAAATTTTTGCTTCAAAGTTCAAAGCATAGTGCAAAGCGGCGAATTTATTAACTAAAAAGCTACTAAGTTATATAAAACTATTAATGCATAAATATTTTCATTAACAATAATACAATATAAAATATGATTTAAAAGTTGATATAAAAGAGAAAAGAATGTGGTACAATACATAACTTGAAGGCAAATTTTGAGGTGAACCTGCAAATTAAAATTTTGAATAATCTCTAATAGTTCAACATAATAATTAAAATTTAAAAAAAAAGTTATAGCTCAATATAAAATCAAAATTTAAAGCATATATAAACTAATAAAGTCTCAAGTTTCATAAAGCAACCTAAATTATTTCAAAAGCCATTTAATCTCTCTCGCTAAACTGTGAACTAGACCGACCGCTTTGCTTCAGCGCTTCAAAACACGCTTTACCTAAGTAAATAGGGCGTGACACACTTTGCTTCGCTTTGCATGTGAAGCGAGCTTCGAAGCGTGCTTTTAAAGACATTTTTCCTAACTACTATGAAAAGATTGTCAACTTTGTTTAAATTTTCCTGCTTTTAAAGACATTTTTCCTAACAACTATGAAAAGATTGTCAACTTTGTTTAAATTTTCCAAAAAAAAACATAGAAAATCTCTCATTCGTCAATTTAATCTATGCAAATCTTCTTATAGACCCGTATGCTTCCTAGAGTTATTAACATGTTTCTAATATCTCATGTTATGTAGCAAATCCTTTCACAACATACTCATGTAAAGTATGATTCTCTTGGACCCCGATCTCTGCATCAAGGCTAAGATCAATAGCTAGCAATGTCGGCAACAACTCCAACAGTGTAAGAAGGTTTAGTGCATTTACAATCTCAAAGGAATATTACCTCTATACTAACTAATGAATCTATTATAAGCAAATTCAACATTGGAAAAAATCAAATTCTAACATCTGACGTTTTCTTTCCTACAAAAGCAATTGAGAATGCTTAGCAAACTACAATTCAATGCTTTCATCCGCCCATCGATCCAAAACTACACCATTGAACTGACCTGGACTTTGTACATACCTTATCTCATAAAAACCTTCAAAACTGACTCAAAAACTTCACATCCCTATCTAAAGTGATCTTCTTGTGTACATCCTACTATCTTATTAAATTATGTTTGGAATGTGTATCTATCATTTTGAAGCAATGTAAAAAATGTGTATACTTGAAATAAACGATCTACCATTACCATAACAAAGTTCATACTTTATTGTGTATGGGACAAGGCCATAACAAGGATACCCGTATTCTACCGTAGGGTCTTATCAAAATGGCATACCCTACATATTTTTCAACATATCCCATCCAGGCTAATAGAAATTCTCTTTCACTAAGGAGAGTTTTATCCCTACCAAATATCATTTCATCCCTCAAATATGGCACTCTAATAAAATGCACTCCCTAAGTGAACCCCTAAAATACATAGTATGTTATGAATGAAAAAGTATATGTGAACCTCATAGGCAATGATCCAAGTTCTCTTAAAAATCCTCGTTAATGGCAAGTGCATTCTTCAATATTACAATGTCAACTACATTCAATTGCATAGTAGTGATCAACAAGTGTAGACGGCTCAACATATCAACTACCATATTCTAACACCCAAATTTATGCTAGAGAATAAAATTGAATGAATAAAGAAATTCACCCAAGAGACACGTCTACCCCTCAAAATTTCTCTAACTTAAGGAATTTTAAGGTCGCACGATCAATGCAAAGAGTGAATTCATTCGCAAGCAGATAATGACTCTAGCGACTACGAGCTCTCAATATGGCAAAAAACTTTGTATGATAGAAAAAATATTTTCGCATGAAATCATTCAACTTCTAACTGAAGAACCTAATAACGTGTCCCCCTAGACTCAACACAGCTTTAATTCAAACATTAAAAGCATCACACTCCACCTCAACTACATGATTAAAATTTAAAAGATCTAAAATAAGAGTTTGAGTAACCTACTTCTTTAAATGATTAAAAATATCATGTGATTCATCTAACCAAGCGAATCTATTTGACATAAGAAGGACCGTAAAGGGTATCACTACAAGGTTAAAATTCCTTATAAACCTGAAGAAGAAATCGATCCATGTATTGGTGTACTTGAATAGACTGGGCTAGTTGCAACATCTTCTATCTTAGCAAGATTAATCTCAATCTCAGCAACTAAAGAAATATATCCAAGGAGCAAGTATGCAGCGTCAAAAAGTGACATTTCTTTGAATGACCATACAACTAATCAGTTCAAAATACACAAAAATTTATCTTAGATGCGGCAAATGTTTCTCCTTGAATGAAAAAATTCCATAATGACGTCAAAGCAAACAACCACAATTTTTTTTATGAAGGCTCCAAAAATCTGGTTCACCAACATAATAAATGTGCTTGAAATATTAGACATGCCAAAAGGCATGATTGCTCGCGTACACAACCTGTCACACATCTTCACGAGGATTTTTTGCTTATTCTCTAATCTTTTCAAATCTAATTGTAGCCACAACATAAACAAGATTAAAGAAGATGACAACTTCATGGAATTGAACCAACAAGTCAACCACTCCAGGAATGAGAAATCAATACTCAATAATGATCTTTTTCATTGTCTTGTTGTCAATGAGCATACGACACGATTCGTCTTTCTAGTGCATAAAACAAACACAGCACACAAGCTGGCACTATCACAAACAAGTCTTTGTGCCATCAATTCCTCAACAGATCCTCGCATACTATTGGTCTCATCCAGTAAACCAACGGTTGGGGAGCATTAACCCTGAGATGAGGTCTATAGCATGTTGAATCTCATAAAAAGGTGGTTATACAGGTGATAAGTTGTCGATTAGAACTTCTTCAAGCTCCTTCAATAAAGGCTGCACTAACTCAATTATTAGCTCATCCATCTCACTGCCCTTCAAAATCACCAAGAGCAATCCCACTAACGCCTCTCTAATAAAATGTAAAAACGTGTGAGTGGAACTATAGTTCTCATCTCTGTATAAGTACTCATCACCGTTAATTCTTTCAAAAGGAAAAGCACAGTGTGTTTTCGAGTTAAGCCACTTGAGCTTCATTCCAGTTAAGCTTATAGTTATCATATTATATCACCCCTCATCTAGTGTCTCTTTACCATATCTTGTACTAGTTTTTATCTCACCTTTACTTTAATCAGAAGGGTTCACCTAACTTTTCATATAAAAAATAACAAGAGAAAAAAAGTGTTTCTGAAACCTTTTCATATTGCTCAAATTGTCCAAAAATTATATAACAAATAATAGAAATGCTACCTTGATAAATTTGAGATTAAAAAAAACAAAATACTAATTTTTACCACTCAAGTTAATTTTGATCTTTTCATCCTTTTTGAGATTCTAATGCAAAGATTTTCTTTAATAAGGTATTTATATAACAAGGAGACAATAGATCTCTGGGATTTTTTTTTCTACTCTTTGGTTAAATGGGAGAGGAAAAATAGATGCTTTACTAATACTCTTTCTCTAGGTCACTTATGTTTGGACTCCAGTCAAGAAAATAGTGCTCTACTGACAGCCAAGAGGAGATTTAATTTATCACTTTACACCTCTTGATTTTTATTATTCTACAACCTGACTAAATTTAGTGATTTTTATTATTGTAAAAGAAAAAATTGCTTCACTCATTACCAAGAAGAGATGTGATTTATCACTCTACTCATTACCGAGAAAAAATTGCTCTACTCATTACCAAGAAGAGATGTGATTTATCACTTTACTTTGATAAATTTGAGATGAGAAAAAAAATAATACTAATTTTTAATCATCCAAGTTAGTTTTGATCTTTTCATCCTTTTTGAGATTTTAATGCAAAATTTTACTTGCAACACTTTCTTCAAGAAGGGATTTATATAATAAAGGGACAATACAAATCTGGGATATCTTCTTTCTCGTCTGATTAATATAGGGGAGAAACAATAGATGTTTTACCAATACCCTATATCCAGGTTACTTTTGTTTGAACTCTAGTCAAGAAAAAAAGTGCTCTACTGACTACCAAGAAGAGATGTGATTTATCACTTTACTCCCCTTGATTTTGTTATTCTACAACCTGACTCTTACTCTACTACTGTTATTTTTATTTGTCTATGCTTTTGTAGTAATCAATAACCTTGCATCCACTAGTTTCTTTTTCAATAAGAAATAACTACCCCGGCTTTTCATTCAAAAAAAAAAAAAACTGCCAACATCGACCAGGATATTCTTGCAATTCACGATGAAGTATTTCATGCGGAGCTGGAAGAGTGAGGAAACGTGTCTGGCTGGAAAAACTGGGGAAGTACATAGATAACTCTTTCAATATTGCAACTGGTGACAGATGAAGATCAGGGAATGCAGGTATTACTGGGTCATTCTGCAAAAACGAGCGACAGAAAAAAAAAAGGACGTTAGAATGTTACATGCAGAAACCAAAATTAAATGAAACTAATTTTCAAATACTTATTAATCCTGGATAAACAACTTGGTAGTATAAGCATAGACAAACCTGACTAGGTAAAATAATATAGCAAGACTAACATACAAACTACTCAATTCTTACGTATTTACATATCTAACACCTAAACTTTAATTTTTACTTATATGCCACCTTACCTATTCATGAAAAGGTATATTTCATTTTTTAAAATTTAAGTTGGCAGAACTTTTTATGTGACATAGAAGATTTAGGTTGGCATAAATGTAAAAAAAACAAAGCTTAGGTGTTATATAAATAAATACATAGGAATTGAGTGGTATTTATGTAAATGCCCTAATAATAAATACATAGGAATTGAGTGGTATTTATGTAAATGCCCTAATAATTTATACCTTAAAGATGCTGGTCAAGCGGTTGACTTTCACTCTTCGATAAAGTGATTCGGCATCTTTCTCAGATGAGGTAGCTAAAACAACTAGAACAGGCAAAACTCGAAGAAGCATGTGGCGCTCTGGAAATAATAGTGCAAAATCCAGCTCTAAAGACTCAACACAAAATACTATGAGAACCTGTAGGATGTCTTCGACACTGTATCGTAGTTAAGGAAATGGATTGTGACAGGTGGGACTTGCGCGTAAATAATGATTCTTTAATAAAATACACAAATAGTAAAATAAGCCAAATAGCATTTGAAGGACAGAAAAAAAAAGTCAAACACAGATTAAACACAATTTAATACAAAGAGTATCATTCATGTAACCTAGAACTGCATCATGTAAAAAATAGAAATGGACGTTATTCAAGAATTTGAAAATAAATAATGTTATTTTGATGTTATTTGAATTAGAATTGTGAAGTCGAATTAGAAACAGATATAAATTACGGAATTTTTTTGTTTTAATAGTTTCAAATTCAGAATAATGTAGAATAAAATAGAATATTTTTCATTGATATGAAAAGTGTTTTACATGAATCCTACAATAGGAAAGACAGCAAAAAGAAAATAAATATGAAGGAAAAGCTATAACTCGTAATATTTCCAATTAATCAATACATATTAATTATTTGGAGATAAAGGAAACAACATAAAATTGGAAATGGAATAAATCTAATCTAACGAAATAAATATAAAATAGGAAAGAATAGAACTCCTAATCTAAGGAAATAATTTATTCACATAACTTCTCACATTCTAACACTCCCCCTCAAGTTGAAACATGATTGAAAATCATGTTCAACTTGGATTTGAAAACATCAAACATCTTGCGAGGAAGAAACTTCGAGGTAAAACTTGAAGTCTTCATCCCGCACTGCAGTTGTCTTAACCACAGTTCGCGCAGTGTCTGTAGGTAGGCCGAAGGCTCATACAGAAAATATTGCAGAGTTTGCAAGGAAGTAGACAATTGCAATTTCTTTTTACTGCGATTCCTGTAGTGTATGTAGGTCGGCGGGAGGCTCCTACAGATAATATTGCAACGAAGTTTGCAGGAAAGCAGACAACTGTGATTGCCTTTAACTGCAATTCTTGCAATGTTTATAGGTAGACAGAGGGCTCCTACATGTAATGTTGAAGGGAAGTTTGCAGAGAAGTAGACAACCTGCAGGAAAAAAAAAATAACATCTACTTGACTGCGGCTGTTTTTGACTGTAATTCTTGGAGCGTCTATAGCTAGGCGGAAGGCTCCTATAGGTAATGTTGCAGGAGACTTTGCAGAGAAATAGACAACCTGCAAAAAATGTTGTAGTGTATGACCTACAGAAAAAAGAAAAAGGTCCGAAGGTAGGCCTTCTGCAGAAAAAAATATGGAGATGGGTCTGCCCAAGAAAGATTCTGGAGGACGACCTGATGCAATAGAAAGTTCCAGATGAGGGTCTGATGCAAGAAAAGGCTCCAGAGATAAGCTGTTGCATGAAGAATTTTGGTGAAAAACCTATTGTAGGAAAAGCTCTAAAGGAAAGCATGATAAAAAAAAAATGTCAAGAGAAGGGCTTTCTGTAAGAGAAAGTTCCAGAGGGTGGCTTGATACAGGAAAAAACTCCGAAGAAGAGACTACAGCAAGAAGAATTCCGATGGAGTACCTATTGCAGGAAAAGCTCCGGAGGAGAGCATGATACAGAAAAAAATTCCGAATGAGGGTCTGATACGAAAAAAGTTCTAGAGGAGGGTCTCCTGCAAAAAAAACTCCAAATATAGCTTGATACAAGAAAAGCTTTGTTGGAAAGGTTCTGGAGGAGGCCCTGCTACAGGAAAACGTTCTAGAGGAAGGTCTGTTGGAGGAAAGATTCTGGATGGCCTGCAGCGGAAAAAGGTTTCAAAGAAAAACCTGTTGCACGAAAAAACTTAGAAGGAAGGATTGACTCATAATGCTCACTTGAAGGTAAAGTGTTGCCATAATCCCATGAATGCTTAGCCTCAGTGATCGAACACCAAGTCTTCATCATCAACAAGATCAAATGGCTTAGATGCAACTAACCATTCCTTCAGAGATTCTTAAACATCAAAGTTGAGACTGAAATATGGGATAACTCCTATGACAGATGGATGTCAGCACTTGCAACGAGCACTTTTATCATCAAATGTGCATCCCCCTCTTATAATTAGCACAAATGGAGAAAGCTGGCCTTCAACTGTCTTATTCTTCAAGCTAGCACAGGCAGTAAGAGGATCAGCTAAATATAAGGTCCCACATTCACCAGATCCTTTAACCGACGTAGCAAAATTGGCCTCAAGGTCATTAAAAGACAGATACATTCTTCCACTCACCACTATATTTGCTCCAATAAGCCTAACAAATAAATTAAGAACAACAAAAAAAAAACCAAAAAGTTCCCTCCACCCTTTGTATTCAGCGAACCCCTCTCCAATTCAAAAATAAGACGTAGAATTCCCGATCAAATGCAATAAACAGAGAATTCGCCACTTCCAACCCTTCCCGTTTCTACTAGATTCCTGGCAACTTTGAATCGACCAAACTAGATAAGCAGCTGAGATGGAGACATCGGCTTCCATGAGAATGGGATTATTGGACGAGCAGGAAATGGCCTGCGATGATGAGATATGCAACCTTTAGCAACTAATCCAATAATTTGAATAGATCATTAGATATTTTTATTCTAATTATGCCACTATAAAGCGATTTTTTTTCCTTCAACATAGGATTTTTAATATACAATATTTGGTGTATAATAGAAAAAAGTGTGCATGATGTACATTAAGAACTTCCAGTATGGGTTAATTATCTATTAAATTTAATAAATGTTCTATTGTTCTTTATGAAGATTTAAATTTTGAATGTGATCTTTTCAATGATTATGAAAAAAGAGTAGTTTACGTTTGACACGAGGGTTATTCCCTCCCAACCCTACTGAATCGGGCAACCTTAACCCGTTCAGGGAGTTGGTGAGGGTCGATCGACCCTAATTATTGGGACTTCTGCCCAATTAGGAGGGACCCACCTCTCCTCACTATCAAAATAGTATTTATATGTGCTTTATGTGTTCCGCACCCCATAACCTCGCTCCCGGCTGCTACTCAACCGCGGCCTCCCTAATTCCCGTAACCACTTGCCACTGTTTCCCCCTCTCCCATGAGTTTAACAAAAATTCGCCCTCTCCCATGAAGCCCAGCCAGCCCCTCTTTTTCTTGCTGGAACTCTCAGCCAGCAGTCGCCCTTTTCCCTGTCGTTCCCTGTCGTTGAATATATCCCGGCCGCATCTCTTATTCCTCCTCTCGTGACAGCCTGTCCCCTGTTTCCATGCTGTCATGACTCTATTATTTTTGCCAGCCGGCTGCCTTAATCTCCTCCCAGCCGTGACGAGCCATTACAACCCTCTCCCATCTTGTTCAAGTCCACCTACAGCTGCCAAACCCCAATTTCAGCTGTCCCTTCTCCCTAACAACCACCTACTCACCCCACTCACAAAAATCCCTTCCCCACTATCACTCTTATGTCCCCCTCCCCGCCTTGCTGCAGCGGGAAGCCTTCCCCTTATCCAGTGTAGTTGCAAACCTCTCAATCCACCTCTATTGCTGCCGCAAGCACGCTGCCAACCATCCCACTGCTGTCTAGCAGGCATCGGCACCTCTCGTCCCCACCCTAGGATCTCCTTTATGTTTGCTGTCATTTTTTTTTCTGTTTTTTGAGGAATCATAACCGATTTCAATTTAAGCAATAATATTTGTCCTTTTGTGGTGGTTTGGATTTTCTCCGTTATCATTTCGTATCAAAGCTAATCTAACCCTAATTCCATCTTAGGGTTTCCTAGTATCCGCTAGAACCCAAAAATTTCTCCTTCACCAAAACTTTTTTTTCCTTCCTACTCCCAAACCTTAGCCACATGTTGACCTAACCCTAACTCTCCATTGCTAATTTTCAGAAGTGAGGCCATTTTGTGCCGCGTCAGGAATATTTCATAGAGTTATTCAGAATTTATTTTTAGTTCAGCATGATACTCATTATCACATGCTCACACAGGAAAGATGAACCCCAGCTTACTAATGGGCCCGAGGAGTTTGATGGGGACGGAAATTCTTTAATGACATATAGGTCCTATCGGTGAAAAAGAAATCCTTTTTAAATGAGAGCTAGTGAGAGCGGTGCAACCTCCACAAATTTCACCCTAGAGTGGCTTTCTCCTCACATAGTAATTTATCAGTTACATTCAACCAAGTAAAAGGAGTGGAAGAACAAAGTTACAACTTGAATGGCGCAATACCTAATTCATGGGAATATTCATCTATCAACAGTTCCAACTCAGGTTATGTCAAAAGGTGGACAGATATTACTTCTATCAAAATGTGCTTTGGAAAGACAGCATCTACTTGATCGACGTGCCAAAAGACGTGTGGTGTCCTACTACAAGGAGCCAGAAGCTTTAACGAATGAATTTGAAGCTCGCCTAACCCCGGGAGACTAACGTGGAGCGTGAGGCTGAACTGGGCCTAACCAGTTTAGCAGGAGAAGGTTCAATTCAACATGAAGCTGGACCAGTCCCTCCTCCCTCTTTTCATTGGGCGGGAATTATTCCCCCTTCTTGTTTTCGTTTCCCACCTACTCACCTTCTATTTATAAGTGTTTTTATGTCTTAGGGTTGAGATTATGTTACTTTCTAATTTCAGTTTGTAAGGACAACCGTTGAACTTTTATTTTCTCTTCGAGGGTTGTATCTGACGGTTAGGGTGGTGCTCCGGTTTTATCTCTCTCCCAAAATAGTAATTATCTCCACATCCTTCCCCACAACCCTTCCACTGCTGCAACCATCCTTCCTCCCTGCTGCAACCGCCGGACAGCCCACCTAGACTGTTTCCCGCAACCTCCAGTTGATGCTTCACCCGCACCTCACCTCCCTCCCTCCAAGAAACTGCTCAACAACAACCTCCCTAATTCCCATTACCACTTGCCACCGTTTCCCCCTCTCTCGTGAGTTCACAGGGATTTCCCCCTCCCATGGAACCAAGCCAGCCCCCCGTTTCCTTGCCGGAATTCCAAACCAGCTGCTGCAATTTTCCGACGTTCCCGGTCGTAGAATACATCCCAGCCGCAGCTCTTATTCCCTCTCCCATGACAACCTGTCCCCTGATTTCCCTGCTGCCGTGACTCTATTATTGCTGCCAGCCGGCTGCCATAATCCCCTCACAGCCGTCACGTCTCGCTACAGCCCTCTCCCATCCTGTTCCAATCCACCTCCACCTGCCTTAATCCCCTCCCAGCAGTCACGTCCCACTACAGCCATTCCCCATCCTGTTCCAGTCCACCTCCACCTGCAAAACCCCACTCCCAGCTGTCCCTTCCCCCAAACAGCCACCTGCCCATCCCAATCACAACAATCCCTTCCCCACTACCGCTCTTACATCCTCGACCCCACCCTGCTACAGTAGGAAGCTTTCTCCTTACCCGGTGCAGCCGCGAGCCTCTCTATCTGCCTCTGTCGCTGTCACAAAAAGAATTTATCAGCATTTATTGTAAGCTTAAAATAGAACTTTGGCACTGCTTTAATCCAAACAATGATATGTCTATGGATCCCATCGAATAGAGGATACGTATTTGCACGGAACATCTCAGCATGCAAGTTTAGTAATATGGCCCATCTTGTGCTCAAGAAAATCTGCAATTTTCAAAAGTAGCATTAAGCTTCAGAAAATTTTGAGAAAGCAAGAGAAAGGCAAAGCCAAGGGATAATGTCTACAGGCCTATGCGGTGTTATCAAAATATAGGAGAAGAAAATGGCTTCTGCAATCTGCAATACTAAGTTTAGAGAAGATAAACTCGCAAACCTGCAGATCATCCAACTCTTCTCTCATTGTATCAGTGTCTTGCCATTGAATGCTTACTTGGGTGAAAGTTCTGTGCAACCGCATTCAAAAAGAGTGAGAATGGACGAATAATGTGTTTTGCAAATCGAACATGCAAGAAAAATGCCAACAAAATCTCAAAGACAAACTGGCCAAACAGATAAAGCAGGTGGCACTGACAATTTATTTTGCAAATGTATTTGAAAAGTTAAACACAGAAAGAATCATAAGAAATAATCTTCACCTGGGTGAAAGTTCAAAAAATAGAATGAAAAGGTGGAGACAAGCATAACAAAATATTTTATAAAAGTTTGGAACCCAGAAAACATATGAGATAAGATCAACTTTAAGTGACTATGGAAACAGAACATGTGCGTTGTTCACAAGTGATGATCTGATCGGAAGTGATATCATGTTGGAGTCTTTCACGAGGCTAGGGTTGGGCAGAGACGTCATTCTACTAATGCCCTGCTTTCAACAGCACTCATGTGCATTTCACCCACAATTGGTTCTTTCTTCTGGCTGCCGCTTGGATTTGATTCTGGTTGTCAGTTCCTTAGGCTATTTTCTATGCTGACTCCACATTGTCTCGGCGTATTGTCCAAACTTGGTCTTTATGGCACTTACAGTAGTCGTTGCCAATTAACCTTCCATTTACCAATGGTAGAGATGATGGAGGTGTCGATACAAACTGGTCTCCCGCATATGGGAGCAAAAGCAGGATTTCCCGCAACTATAAGCAGGTGACACATTTTCAATGTTTGAACCAAATAAGTCCAGATTTTTTTTGTTGTTGCGGACTCCGGGTCCTCTTACGCCACATCTTGCTATCCTATAATTATATATTTGTCTTTCTGATATTTTAGGTTTAGTATTTGTATGTTTTCTGTCAGGACGACCGTTAGGCATCTCCGGGTTCTACTATTAGGACTGTATTCAAGGAGAGTGGTGCTCCAGCTGTATCTCATTCTGAGGTGGTGATTATTTTTTACTTTCCTTTCCTTGTATCCTTCCCTCCAACATCACCGTACCTGCTGCAGTCGCCCAGAAGAGGCCCTCCTTTGCGGTTTTTCTGCAGTCCACCTTACCACCACCTTCCAAACCCCGCACTCCTCCCTTCTAACTTGTGGCCGCTTTCGAGGAACACCAATTCCCATTTTGCCTTGCTGTCAACACCCATAAACTGACCATCATTTGCTGTAGTTGCTCCGAACCAGCCACACCTTGGCTGTTGTCGCTTGGGAGAGCTCTCCCACATCAATTCCAGCCTTCCCAGCCGTCATGCATTGCTGCCATAGCCCAGCAATTCCTTCACCTTCCTTTTTTACCGCTATCTGGTCATCCTACCTCGCTGCAACCTCCCCCGAAACTCTTTTGCTTTGCTGCTTGACCGCTGCCCATGCTTCTCACCTACGTGACGCCATCCAGAACAGCAAGCATCTGTTATTCCCCACTGTACTCGCCCCCTTGCTCCACTTTCCCACCACACTGTCACTTTCCCCCAACCCCCAACAGCCTTCAACATTATCTAAGAGTCTCGCTAGTCAGGGATGTGTGTTGCACTTGTTGTTATTTCCTATTTCAGTGTGTTTGGTTGTAATCTTCCATTTGTCTTTTTAGTAATAGCGTTTGTTATACTAGTGTTGTTAGTGTTAATTCAGATATCATTTGGTATCAAAACTAACCTAACCCAAGTTTCATCCTAGGCTTATCAAAATCCTCTCAACCCTAAACCCACGAAACCAAATCCAAATTTTGACTTAACCCTAATCCCCCTTGCTGACTTTGAAAATCAACAAACCAAAATAAGCATTTTACACCCTAAATCAACCTCAAACACCATCTTTCATCTCTCAAAACTAAACCCACCAAACATAGCCAAATCTTGACCGAACAATAATTCCCAAATAAACAAGTGTAGAGAGTTTTTCTGCACCATAAATCAGTCTCATACACTATCTTTCACCTCCCAAACAAAAACCCTAGTAATACCACAGAGGAGACAAGTGTCAAAAGTCAATTGCCCTCAAATCTCAAGAGGTTACAGCAGATTTGTCGCCATCAAGGTGATTGACCTGACGCCATATCATGAGGAGACAAGTGTTGAAAATCGAAGACCCTCAAATCCCGGAAGATTACAGCAACTCGCTACCTTAAACACAGTCGACCTGACGCAATATCATTAATAGTCAAAAGCCTTGACATATGAGATTGAAGCATCACCAACACCAGTAGATTGGTGTGTGGTAGAGAAGGGACTCTGAACCAGCTCAGTCCAAGTGGGGGAGGGTCAGTCGGCCCACTCTCTAGGATTAGATTTGTCGCCCAATCCTAATAGCATCATAAGTTCGTTAGTTTGTTTTAATTAGGTTTAGGTCCTTTGTTCATTATAAATATGTAATTGTTTGTTATATTAGAGGACTTTTGTTCATTTGAGTTTTGAGAAGGCCCTTACTCCCTTTGTGGATCCTAGATAGGTATGAGTCAATATCCACAACATTGGGTGGTAGCAACCGTATCACTCCATTGTTGGTGGCATTATCCCAGATCTCCTTCATTTGTCAATCCTTTCATAGGTACTTTTTATATCTTGATCGGTTGCAAGAGTAGGAAACACTTGTACCTTATATTTTTATTTGATTGATGCATCTCTTTTTAGTTTTGGTTTTTTTTTTTCCTGCCTCAGATTACTTTCTTGATTGTTCTTGTTGAATCTCTTCAACCCACCTTTTCTGGTATTATTTGGTAACAGAACTAGGTTTATGTCACAAGGTCAGAAATTTGATCAAGAGAAAAATACATTGCCGCTTTTGAGAAATATGCAAAGAGATGTCCAGGAACTTCTAACGAAAATTCTCCAAGGGAAACAGAGGGTTTTTGCCTTCAAGAGTAGAAAATCCGAAAAGATTAACTTCAACAACGATTCATCAGATCGAGAGTTGAAGTGAATCTCTTCCACATAACAGTTTCCAATGATGAAGCACCAATACCCCTAAGATTTGGCATAGAATATTAGAGTAGAGGACAAACTTTTAAGTGTAGGGTGACTTGTTATATTTTGACGGTCACATGGATTCGAACGAGTTCATGGAATGACTCCACAAAGTTGAACGTGTCTTTGAGTATTAGCATGTCCCACTTGACAATATGGTAAAACAAGACGCCACCAAGTTAGGAAGTATGTGTTCTTGGGTGTAGAAATTTGAAGCACTTACGCCAGAAGAAAGAAAAACAAAATCAATAATTTGTCCAAGAAGAAATGAGAAATACAGTGCAAGATCTATCAATTCATTACAAACAGGACATGTTCACGAGACAACCTCACCAAGTGATCTCCACATCTTGCAGACAAAATTCAACCTCAAGATTAAGAAGCAAGATTCCACCCAACCAACCAAACAAGCGACCCCGCCTGATGAGAAACTACTTCAAAATGAATAACATGTGGAGTCAAGCAGCATTCCCAAATTCATCCAAGCCAGAAAATGTGTCAAGTGTCACGGTTTTAAGCACAATGCATCAGATTTCCCAAACAAAAGTATGGTCTATTTCACTAAGCTGAGAGCAGTTGAAGAAATGGACAATAACAAAATAGATACTGAAGAAAGTGAGGACACAAAAAAATATCAACAAACAGTTGATAAGGAAGAGATGCATGTAATTCAATCTGAACCCACAAGAGAGACAATAACAAAATAGATACTGAAGAAAGTGAAGACACAAAAAAATATCAACAAACAGTTGATAAGGGAGAGATGCATGTAATTCAATCTGAACCCACAAGAGATACCACGTCAAGATTAACGGTAGTTGTTCAAGAAGGGAATGAGTCTAAGATAATGGGTGTCATGCAGAGTGAGAGGTTGTAGCGCCACGAACTACCATTTAGCAAGCATTGAGAGGAGCATCATCAGGACTAGCATTAGATATCCAAAAAGGCCATAAGTTTGAGGAGTCGATACCAGACACAGGGCAACCTTGTGTAACAAAATTTCAGAATTTTCAGATATATAGTCTATCTCCTGAGTTATCCCTATAGAGGGAGGTTTAACATATATGAGATAAAATGAAAAGTTTTTGCACCACTTCAGGAAGATTACATGGAGTCCTCTGGGTAATAAAGTTAGTTCGGTAGTGTAACCATTGAAAGAAGATCAAACATAATGGATAAACCATTGCATTCGAATACCCCTTAGGAGCTTTGGGGAAAGAATATTCTACAATGGATCCAATTCCAATAAAAGAAAAAAATCCTCTCCTAAGTTGTTACTATTAAGAGTTGCCCATCCTACCATAAATATCATTCCAGAGTTAGTCATCAAATTTGGTTATCGTATGCACACAGTCGAGTATAAAGAGTGGAAGAGGAAAATTATGAATAAAATGTCTTGAGATTTGGCTCATGAGAATCTACATCTATTTGCAGCTCCATCACAGGTTATTTCAAAAGATGATGGATATTTATTGTACAAGAATATGTTTTGGAATGGCAGCGCCTGGAAGATTGACTTATCGAGACGTTAGAGTAGCTCTATCACATCCAAAGTGAACAACCTATCGTCATATTATGAGGAGACAGATGCTTTGACAGATGAGGTAGCTGCCCCAATCTAAGGAGACTGGCGCAGGCGTCTCTCGTATAGGGGAGCATAAGAGGGATTTCCCCTGATTGTAAGTGGATGGCCCATTTTTCATGCCTAGACCAAATCGGTCCAGATTTTTTCGTTGTTGTGGAGTAGCTCGGTCCTCCAAGGATACTACTTCATTATCATACTACTATTTATTTGTTTTTATGATGTTTTAGGTTTAATTTTGTGTGTTTTCTGTCGACACATCAATCGGCATCTACGGGTCTCCCTTTTAGGATTGTATCCAAGGGTCAGTGGTGCTATAGTTGTATCTCATTCTGAGGAGATGACAAACCTCAACTTTCTTCCTCTGTATCCTTCGCTCCACTATCGTCCTCATCGCACCTGTTTTATTCACTCAGAAATCTGCCGTTGTTTTTCTATAGTGCACCTTATCACCGCCTTCCAAACCCCGCACACCCTT